ATGGCGACGATTCTGGCCACGGAGAGACATTTGTGGTTGAACCTGGCCGACATCGGGAAGAAAGAGAAAGGCTTTCTCCTCGATTCGCTGGTTTCGCCCTCTGAGCTTTTCGGCACCTCCGTGGTGGCGGTGGTTGGAAGGTTCAGGGAGGCGAAGGCGCGTTCAGCTGTATCCAGGACATACATACCGCTGAGATCCGTGTCCACGCCCAGACAGATGGGAGGGCCTGGCCTATCATGGTCCGAGGACCTTAGATGGGGCCAGAGAGCCAGTGTCACCTCTCGTGCGCCTCCTCCGTGGAGTAGTAGGTCGCAGAGGAGGCGCGACTCCCACAAGAAGAGGGATCTGAGGGAGGTGATCCAGCACAAACGCACATTGCGTCGGTCATGGATCATTTCCCTGAGGGCGTGATTATATCTTAGCCCTTTCCTCTCTTCCCCGACTCCCCTGGCGCTTCTTACATCAGGCCTGAGGCTGGGCTCATGGTTAGAACAATGTTCTGATGGCCCGCCTCGGCTTGGTTAGTGAGAGTGCCTCTTTCAGGTATGTAAAGGTTGTAGACCCCATGTTCATGAAGAACTGTCTGGTGAGTCTTCACTTCGCACACCGCAGGTGAGCTGCAGGTCTTTCAAAGAGTATTTTTTGAGATTAAAAAATAATATGTTTCTCTTTACAGACCTCGTTCCCTGTATAGAGTTATGGGGCCATGTCAAGGTAATAAGGTAAGAGAACTTTATTGGATTATCAGGGCCCTGAAGTTCCCCGTTAGGTGGCCAGAACGATAACTATGTTAGCCTTCGGGCTATTAGCCACCTCAGGGTAGAGTAGTTTGTCTTTCTCTGATAGAATGTTTTACTTAGAGTGTTGACTGACGCTAGAGCTTCAGATAGATCTTATGTCCGGCCCATGGGACCGTTTTGACTTTTCTGAGTATTTCGCCCCTTGACATCTGTTGAGTTTTCATTAGGTTGAGCGTTTCTGCAGCCCTTTGTATGGAATAATACAGACTATATTCTTTAGTAGGCTGTGGCTCCTCCGAGCCCTCAGATAGATCTATGCTTACAGGCTGGCCCTCACCAGGGCCGCCTCTATAGCTGGCCTAGGCTGTGCCAGGGATATTAGAGGCGTTCTGCTAAAATTAGAATTTCTTCCTCTGACCCTTCACTTTGTGAATGTAGGTTTCTGGCATCCCTGTATAAACAGCCTCCTCCCATGGGAGTCGTTAGGCCAAGGCCCGCCCCCTTCTCTGCATTCTGGGGTGACTAGAGTAATGCAGCGTGGTGCAGAGGATGGTTTATAAGGACATGGTAGGCCTCAGTTAGGCCTCCGTGGTATATAAGTCCTTTTGAGCAGGGTTAGGCCGTCTTTCGCTTCACGAAGAAGACTGGGTCTCCTGCCCGACCGTGCCACGCAGAACTGGCCTACGGATTTAGGCTGCCAGTATGGGCTTCACTTACCTCGCTGAGCTACTGCTCGAGCGCCGGGTTGTAGGTGGTTGGCTTTCATTCAAATGGTTGGCCTTGGTGGTTCGGGCAGTTGACTCACCGGTGGGTAGTAGGCCTTAAACAGGCCTCCTCGGAGGTGAGTCCCAACATAGTGGGACATACTTTATAGCCGCTACAGGTAGCTAGCCGTACTAGGCCTCCTGTGGGTGGGCCCAATAGTTACGTTGGTGTAGTATGGTTCCCAACAGTGTTCCTTTGTAGCAGAATTGACTTGCTATCAGCTAGTAGGCCCAACCAGGCCTCCCTGATAGGCAAGTCCCCAGCTGGCTGGCCTTAGCAGGCCGCCTTGGAACTGTCACCCGGACTCAGCTACCAGTTGCTATCAGGTGGTAAGCCCCTCAGGCCTCCCTGAAGGTGAATTCCCACTTAAGATGGTTATCAGGTAGTAGGCCTCACCCGGCCTCCCTGAAGGCGAATCCCCACCTACAGTACATTGGCTATCAGGTAGTAGGCCTCACCAGGCCTCCCTGGAGACAAGCCCAAGGACAGACAACTGGACAGCTAGCCTGACTTACTATCGGGTAGCAGAAAAAAGCTCCCAGATATTATGGCTGTCAGGTAGTAGGCCTCACCAGGCCTCCCTGAAGACGAGTTCCCACATGCTGTGATTATCAGGTAGCAGGCCTCACCAGGCCTCCCTGAGGGTGAGTTCCCCACTTACTATCGTTATCAGGTAGTAGGCCTCTCTAGGCCTCCCTGTAGGTTACCACATACTGTTGCTATCAGGTAGTAGGCCTCACCAGGCCTCCTTGTGAGTGGTTCCCTAGCGGTGCTGGGTTCAGGAAGCTAGTGGCCTCTTGCTATCTTTTCAGCTAGCCTTATCAAGCAGCTGCTGAAGGCGAGCTTGCGCCCTGGCTCGACTAAAGTGTTCATTCTCTGCTACTGGTTCCCTCCCGGAACCTCTTTCCTGCCTACAGCCTGGTTTTGCCTACCAGGCGGACCATGTGCTCCCCTCATTGAGGGTCACTATGAGCACGCGGACCCCTGAGTCTGGTCAGACAGTTGCAGGCCTCTCGTGAGGCCTCCCAGTTAGATCAGTCCTTAGGCCTTCACAGGCCTCCTCAGTATTTGAAACACAGACACTGGGTTGATCCGTGGATCGAGTAGAGAAATTCCCCTCGCTAGCAAGGGTTGTAAAGCACTACGCTGAGTCATACTCTCCGGGATATCCCGTCTCTGAGATCCGGGCCGAGTGGTTCACTGCCAGCTTCGCAGTCCCTCGGGTTGGATGCCTTACCTAAAGGCATATTCCAGAGGCTCTGTTTTCGGACAGACAGGAAGTGGCCAGACTAAGTGTCTATGTATCTGACACCAGGTCAGGCCATCCTGGTGGCATTTCGGGGTGAGTACGTTCCCCTGAATAGTGACTGGCTGGGGTTCCTTCGGGTTCCCTTGCCACATTCCCTAGAAGGGACCCCTTCTTATTGAAGTTGTGGTCCTAAGCCTTTGAGCAGGCCCAGGTAGGCCTTTCATTTAACCATGTTTATGGAGGTTTTCCTGTGAGGCTTATAGCTTAGGGAAATGATGTCACTGACAGCCCAGTGTGACCTGAGGGTGAGTGGTTCTAGCATTTCATTTGAATTTGCTGGTTCGGACAGTTGTCACTGCCTGAGGGCATGCACTCCCCTTAGCATGGCGGCGTGGGTATATCGTTCCCCAAAGCATCATTCGACGCAGTGCAAGTTCCCTTCGAAAGGGAACGTCTCAGGTTGCGACTGTAACCTATGTTCCCTGAGAACAGGGAACGAGACACTGCGTCTCCTTGCCATGCCTCGGGGCCTGCCTGCCGTACAGTCCCTTCAGACAAAAAGGTGATTTGTCATGTTTGCAAGGCGCCCTTATATACTTCCAGGTCGCACGTTAATCATTCACGTTAATGATTCACGGACTGTCGCCGGTCAATGTGATTGACGTGATTTGATAGTGATTTCAGACACCTGTCACGCCTGAGGCGTTCCCCAAAGCGTCATTCGACGCAGTGCGAGTTCCTTTCGAAAGGGAACTGGACAGGACTAAACCAAATACACAATAATGGGGGGAACACAAGACAGACAGGAACAAGACATGAACCCACACCGTGACAATAGTACAGTAACCTACGTTACACTGAGATTTCATGTCGGAGCTGTATTTGAGCGCTTGGGCCGCGAGCGATTGAGTGGAGCGCATTGGCATAGAGCGGAATATTGAGCGGAGCTCACATGCTGAGTTATAACTATATATTCAGGATTTTACATTTATATATTCAGAGTTATTACTATATATTCAGGATTACATTTATATATTCAGAGTTTTAACTATATATTCGGGATTTACATTTATATATTCAGAATTACATTTATATATTCAGAGTTATAACTATATATTCGGGATTTACATTTATATATTCAGTTATAACTATATATTCGGGATTTACATTTATATATTCAGAGTTTTAACTATATATTCGGGATTTACATTTATATATTCAGAATTACATTTATATATTCAGAGTTTTAACTTTATATTCGGGATTTATATTTATATATTCAGAATTACATTTATATATTCAGAGTTTTAACTATATATTCGGGATTTACATTTATATATTCAGAATTACATTTATATATTCAGAGTTATAACTATATATTCATGATTTATATATTCAGAATTACATTTATATATTCAGAGTTATAACTATATATTCGGGATTTATATTTATATATTCAGAGTTATAACTATATATTCGGGATTTACATTTATATATTCAGAGTTATAACTATATATTCAGGATTACATTTATATATTCAGAGTTTTAACTATATATTCGGGATTTACATTTATATATTCAGAATTACATTTATATATTCAGAGTTTTAACTATATATTCGGGATTTACATTTATATATTCAGATTTACATTTATATATTCAGAGTTATAACTATATATTCAGGATTACATTTATATATTCAGAGTTTTAACTATATATTCAGGATTACATTTAATTATTTCCTGTTTGGCCCCCCATATATATATATATATATATATATATATATATATATATATATATATGTATATATATATTAACTGTTTGTATTTAGGCTACAAACATGCTAACAAAGGATGTTTAAAATGTCATTTCCATGACAGAAACTGTGCTATGAAAAACACATACTGTAGGTTGAGGTGTGAATGAAATATTCACAACAGTGTTTTCGCAAAAAATTGCTTAGTGAGTGTGAAAATAGTTTTAAGTTGTTTTTTACATTTATTTTAATTTTCCTATTCCCAGTGGCCATAGTTGAAGAAACACACACACACACACACATACACACACACACACACACACACACACACACACACACACACACTGTGCAGGGTGCTACCATGTACATGTGGTGGGCTTGAGGCCAGAAGAGTCCAGTGATTAATGGAGTGTTAGAGAGTGTGTTTTATGACAGGTGGTATTGGTGCACTGCTCAGCTGTTCTTATACATATGAGAAAATGGACCCGACTCATCCCACACAGGACTGAGATTATGTACAAACACACAAGCACATCCAGGAACCATTATAGGACCCACACAGACATACACTGCATGCACACACAGCTCACCATATCTTTGCTATCTCCAGCAAAGGCTTGCTCCACGTACAATCTCCCCACAGCATTCTCCATGTTGTTGTTCACATAGATGGCACACTGTCTCCAAACTGCTGCTTCAGATGTAGTACCATAGATAGCCTAAGAGAGGTGGGATAAAGAGCATACATGTTTTTAAAATTATGACAGTTAATTCACAGTTTGAATCTAATTTTTTTGGTCTTTACCTTTCTGAAAGCTTTTCTGGTTTCCCTGTATTGCCTGCTTAAACCAACCACCAGATTCATAACAAAACGCCACACCAGGTAGTTCTGTATGTCCCTGCACATACAATCACATGGTTTATATGTATACTGTATATTTTTAATTTGTCTAGTGAATTCAGGGAGCCCAGGTATTGAGATAGTTCTCTTTCGAGTGGAACTCAATGCTGCATTATGACGTTAACACCATGGGAACGCTTCTTTGTGAGCCGGTGTCTGAAGCACATGTGGAAAACAAGCCAATCACATTGGCCAGAGAAAGATCATGAGACGTAACATCAGTGCGCCATGAAGACCATAAATAGACACCCGAAAAATGTTTCATCAGCTTCTTTGTCTCCCGCAAAGTCCACTGTGTGTGTTAGAAGTAAACGGAAAAAAATTTAAGTTTGTCTACCGTCAATGTTTGTTGTGAAAGATCAAGTCATAAATAAATAAGTAAAATGTATTTATACAGCGCATTTCACAGACTAGGTCACAAAGCGCTTTACAATAGACAGAAATAGATAATAAATAACATAAAACAGATAAAATTATCAATTTATAAAGGACAGAGATTACCCAAAAGCTAACCTGAACAAAATGAGTCTTCACTTGCCCCCTAAAACTGTCCACATTCTCAGAAAACCTAATATTGGTTGGCAAAGCATTCCATAGTCTGGGTGCCATAGCGGCGAAGGCTCTATCCCCGCGTCTTTAAATGAGTGTGTGGCGTAGATAGCAGATTATTAGACCTGAGAGACCAGAGAGGGGTAAGAAAATGAATTATGTCAGCAAGATAAGCAGGGGCCTGGCCATGTAAAGCCCTATAGGTTATTGAAGATTCAAAATTTCATCTTTTAATATTATTTCATTATTAAATATTATGTATTTGTATTATTATTCTTTATTAATATTCATAATCAGTTGTATCATCTTATGAAGTTTCAAAAGCATGAGTTTGAATGCATGAGGGGCTATAGATAGCATGGGTCCATGGGATGATCATATGTCAGACAGGGAGAAGATATATTTTGCTTAGAGGGTGTGTACAATGTAACATGTTCCGCTGATGTGAGTGTATCACAGATGTAAACAACAAGGATAGTTCTTAATATGGAAGTGAATTGTGACATGTTAAACATAACGTATACGTATGACATACGTTCTAATTTTAAGAAGCTCAGAGCAACATGTTTTGTTACCTTACAAGGAAGCTGTAAGACTTTCTGTGATGTATAAAAAGCTCAATCTTACTGTACTACCTCAGAGAAACACGGAAACGCATTGACCTGGCATGAATACAACATCTTGAAGTTTCTCTCCTGACATATAAGAATAAAATCTTTCTTGGCAAGATAACTGGTGTCCGGTCCCGTAAATCAAATAATAACGGGAAAACAAAAGAGGCTTTAATTCCAAGTCTACATTTGGCGTCACGAAGAACAGGATTGCATCTTCAGGCATTTGTCTCAATCATTCAAGGTAAGACTTTTTCTATTCTAAATAATTCCAAGTCTGCCTGATGATTAGACATTGACTGAAACTGCTTTAAAAGAACTGTGTTATTTAAAGTACCAGTTGTGTTGCCAATGAATATATGTGTCAGAAAAAGGAAAAATTTAAATAATTATAATTTGATGTGGCTTATTTGAGTTGCTCTGGTCAGTAAACCTCTGAATATTGAATGATGCTGGGGAAGTCTTTTTCATTTTTGAAAAAACTTTAGAAAGTGGATCTTTTTTAGAAAAAAGACCATCTTAGTCAAATTTTGGAAAAAGCTGTAAGGCGATTTAGCAATTAGCTTGTAAGGTGGTTGGAATATTGGGAAACTGCGATAAAGGGCAGATTTATCTCTAAAATATATCCAATACACGAAGAATCGTTTCAGAAGAAGACGAGGATAGTTTGACAAGCAGTGATTTATAGCGGTTTACAGTGGCGGGTCTGTGCTTGAAGTTAGTACAGTTACAAATAAACCCTAAAACGTAAATACGCAGAGGATTGAACCCTTAGAAGAAGGGTATCAATGGAATAGAAGCTAAAATTGCATGCATTCTGATTTTGACAAGAAAGCTGTTCAGTGTTTGGAGGAAAAGACTGATCTGAGAGCAACTTTAAAATACATATATATATATATATAAATTGATCTGAGTTAAGACTAACAAAAAAAGGAAACCAGAAATTATTAGAGTTGTTTTTTGTTTTGTTTCCCCAACCCCTTCTTTGTTCTTTGAGAAATTAGAGCAGGTGGAGAGGGAGAGGGGCAGAGTGTGGAAAGCAGAGGGCCTCCCCTGGAATCCACACACACACACACCCTCACAAAAATAGCCCTGCTGTTTGAGCACACAGACACAGAGTGACAAACAATTTGCAATGGCAGAAAGTGGATTTAACAGCAGAACAATATCTGCTTGGTACTTAGAAAGAAAACAAAAAAAGCAAGCTAAGTTTTTGAAAAAAGGACTGGACATTAACACATCTCTTGATGTACAGTTAAGCTGGCTTGAGTCTCAGAAAGACTCTATCAAGTCAAAAGTATTTCCAATCCTCGCCGCACATTGGATTTTGAAACAAGGTGGAATTTGTTGCGGTTTCAATGGGTGCCCAGTCCCACTTGTTGAAGCAATGAAGCCTCAAATTGAAGCATATAACAAACTGAACAAAATTATGTCTATTAAATGTTCAGATGGAGAAAATACAACCAATGACGATTCATTTGATCCAGATTGGACAAATATAATAACTGAAGCTGAAAAGAAATATTCACAAGCACCAGTGAAATCTGCAACAACTGTAACGCCTCCTCCTTACAACCCAATTTATCCAATTTTGCCTGAACAATATACAAATTCATCTAAACCTCTGACACAGCCTCAAGCTTTGAGATCAACTGGAGGCCCAGTTGACAAAATGTATATTGCATCTGCACAAGCAGCTCCGGTAATAACAAGATCTAAAACAGTTCAGCCAAACAGAGACATGCTCCGATGTACACCAGCTCGGAATTATGATTCTGACTGGGGTGATGAGACAAGAGATGACGACATGATCACAATTGACAAGATCGGTCCTGAATTTTCTTCACCTGTAATTAAAAGGGAAGGATCTGAAATGATGACAGAAGAGAGACCATTCACACCAGGAGAACGTCAAGCCATTCTCACAGCCTTGCCTCCTCTGAAGAGACAAGATCCAAACACAGAGTTTTGGCGAGAATTAGACTCATTGATTGAAGCACATCAAATGTCATTAAGAGACATACACACCATTGTGAAAGCTAAAATCCCAAGAGACAGATGGGAACGCTTGCCAGCTTCGATAACAACCGCCCAATGGATAGATTTGTGGGTTGATAGCCAGGGACGACCCCTGGGTCTTTGGCAAGCATTAGATGTGTTCCGAAAAGAAATCCAGGAAATCTTGGGCAGTGGTAAAATTCCTTTCACATTAGTGACATTGATTAAGCAAAAGGATGATGAATCTCCAGATGAATATGCTCTACGTAAGTGGAATGCTTATGAGAGATGGGCTCTTTGTGCCAAGAAACAACCTGACAGAGATGATGTACAGTTCACTGACACACTTGTGGATGGACTTAGCGCAAAATACCAACAAGCCTTATCACTTGGAGTCAACCCAGGTGAGACATTTGACCAAATTATGCAATGGGCTGGCCGCTTAGAGATGGCTATGAGATCAAATAAAGAAGAAGGAAACAAGCCATATCGAAGAGGAGTGGCAACAGCTCAATACAACAAGGACACAAAGAATAGGATGATTTTCTGCAGCAACTGTGGAAAGCGTGGACACTCCAACATAGATTGTTGGGCTAAAGGAGGTGGAGCAGAAGGTCAAGGTCCATCATTTAGACAGGTCAGTGCAAAAAACCATAATGAAACCCCTCAAGGGAAGACGTGGACTGAAGCACAAGTCCGTCAGCTCATTGAGGGAATTATGCGTCCGCAATAGGAATCAGCGGCCCCCTGTATTAGTAAGAAAAGAGACAATCGCCTTTTCGTCAATGCATTAATAGGGGGCCACCCATGTGACATCCTTGTTGACACAGGAGCAGCCATTTCAATAACAGATCTGAATCTACCTACAACAGATGAAACTATGGAAGTTGAAGGAGTTGGAGGAGGTATCACAAAATTTCGCAAAAGTATTCAAGTTCCACTGCAAATACATGAAGATGAAGTCTTATGGACATCTTTCTGGGTTGGGCCGAATTCACAAGGAAGCCTTATTGGCATGGACATTCTTCCATTGTTGAACATGATCATATTCACTGACAGTCGTCAAATCGCTACAACTGCTGGGATAATACCACACGAAGATCGCACATGTAATCTAAGGTCTGTTGGTACAGCAAAACCAATTATCAGAAACTGGAAAAAAGACGGTGTGTGGGGTCTTCTGTGCAGTTTATATCCAGATGTTTGGGCTAAACACAAATTGGATTGTGGCAAAGCCAACATTGATCCCATTGTTATTGAGGGACCGATACATGCCCCTCATAAACAATACCCCATCCGACCTGAAGCAAGACGAGCCGTGGAGGAGATAGTGGCAGACTTGGAAGCTGAAGGAATCATCAGACAAACTTCATCTACCACTAATAGTCCTGTCTGGCCTGTCAAGAAATCTGATAACTCATGGCGATTAACCATTGATTACACAAGACTTAACAGTGTAACACCAAAACCGCATCCTATTGTGGCCAATCCTGCCACCATTCTGAATGATATTCCAGGAAATGCTAAAATTTTTACGGTACTGGATGTACTGTCGGCTTTCTGGTCTATACCTATAGACAAAAGATCTCAAGAGAAATTAGCCTTTACAGTGGGGGCAAAACAATATGTTTGGAACAGACTCCCACAAGGTCTTAATCTTTCTCCTGTTGTATTTCATAGAGCTTTGGACCAGTTCTTAACGGAGCAAAAAGCTGAAATTGAGAAATCAGGAAGTGTTTGCCTCCAATATGTTGATGACTTGTTAATTGCAAGCCCAGATGAAAACAGCCATGTATTTGCTCTGAATGTTGTCCTACAAGCCCTTAGGAAAGGGGGATTC